GAAACTATGTGACCTTAACTACATGTGCTATCTACTACTTACCATCCTTCTAAACAAAATTCTGTATTTTTGTAGCATTCCTCAGTAGCATCGGATAGATAATTAGGTCTCCAATATCCCTTTTGCAAATTTATCATATTAGAAGTTACGTTTTAGAATTTAGTTTTATCAAAAACTGAACATTTAATTGTATCATAAGTTACACTATAAAATCCTTGGCTAGATTTGCAAGTCTAACAGCCATCTTCTATATAAAATTCTCCTAACTAACATTTAAAACTTTTTGCATTAATGATATAATTAATACCATTTTGTGATTTTTGCGTTTTGCAAAAGATTTAAATTTATAGGTGACGACTGTCTTTTTAATAAGGGTCAAGTCTAAAAGATAAAGTATTTAGTTCAAAATTATTATTCTCAGTCTAAAATTGTAGGAGTTATTTTGAAGAAGAGTTTTATTTTTCATCCCTTCCCTTGATTACTGTGTAATCTGCATACTACACAAGTTGAATTATAAATATTATGGAGTAGTTCTCCCTTGCTATTTTTGAAATAAATGTTCAACCTTTAAATGTAGATTACTTGTGAACTAGGAATCATTAGCATTTCTGTTTATCTTTTAATTCCTTATTCCAATACTATATATGGATTTATTCTGAGGATACTAGTTGAAATATTGTTTATTGTATATTCTAAAGCAGCCATTTCTTTTGAATTGATGTATAGTGACAAGTAACTGGGATTTTCAACTAGATTATTTCCATATACTTCAGCCTGATTGAAATTTATGAAAGTCTAAACTTAGGTTTTGATGGAGAGATCATCATCCAAATCGTAATAAATCCCTCCTCCTTCTTGGGCTTTATTATAGATTATGATGGTTTTAGAAATGAAGAATCTTTTAGTGTTTATTTGCAAATATAAAGCTCCACCTTAAGAAAGTGCAATGTTAAACATAATGTTACATTGGATTAACTTTAATAGAATATCGCTACTCTTTATTGCAACCCCTGAAGTTCCAAGGTTTGAAATAAAATTTGAATTTTCTATTTTAAACACATTTGAAGCATTTTAATTCCCAATAACATTTAAACATCCATACTTGTTGATAATATTAGAATGACAATCAAATCTAATAATTTGGAACTTCTTAAAATTTATGTCATCAATGTGGATGATTCCCTATTAACTTGCGGAATAATTATTATTTGTAAATTGGATCCTATCAAAAATAAAAACACCTAAATTTGACTAGCCCTTAATATATAATATCGAGCTTTGTTATTAGTTTTATTGTAGTAATTGTAGTATATTGCTGTAAAAGTAATTTTTCTAAAAATATTGCACTTAAAAACTCTATATAGAACATCCAGAAAAGAAATAATTGATTTATATCTATAAGTATTCTTAATTTGGCAACTTATTAGCAGAATACATGGACCCATTTTTAAAATTTAAAGATCTTAAGGAAACTTAATACTTTTATTATACCAATTAACTAATCACAATTAGATTTTATGTGTATATATTCTAGACATTTTAAAATTGGCAATTGACCATATTTAATGTATTTATGTTATTTAAATTAATTACACTAGAAAAAAGCATCCCTTCAAAAATAACATTTTCTATAGTAACATCACAATTCTCTGAATATATTATTGCATTATCTTTTCCAGTTATTTCTTGAATTTCAGATTCAGACAAAATACCAATATTCTAAAATAAATTTACCCAAGATTCTTAACTTTAGTAAATAATTAAATCTACAAATGAAATGAAATTTTATTTATTTCCTTAGGAAATAAACTGAACTTTAACAATCTAATTTTTTAATGAAACGCAATCAATTATCGACATATTTTAGAATATCAAATTATTTTTAAGTAATGAAGGATTTATTGTTATTATTGCAGAGGACAAGCCTATTTTAAATCTTCTAAAATTTAGCATTTTTAATCTAAACATTTAAGAAACTATTTAGAGCATTAATACTTAAGCATCCTGCGCTTTCAATACTTTCCTGAAAACTATTTCTTATTTAAAGAATACATAAATTTTACAGAACTATTACTCCATCACTTGACATCACTATTTCAAATACTGAAATTTTTGAGTCATTATGTCTTCAAAGATGAGTTGATTCAAATAAAAATTAGATGGT